GACCCAGAAAGCACCTACTTAGTCTTTTGCGGTTCAGTGCTCCCCTTTTGCATAATACAAATATAAATGAAATACATCATCTTAATCAAAGAAAGAAAAAAAGTCGATCAAGTAAAAATCATCGATAAGGAAGGTACATAACTAATTCCCGTTCTTGTCGAAAATCAGTAGACCTTATCATCAGAAATTTCTTAATGTATAAGTCATAAATAAATAATTATACCGGTCACCGACCCAGAAAGCACCTACTTAGTCTTTTGCGGTTCAGTGCTCCCCTTTTGCATAATACAAATATAAATGAAATACATTATCTTGATCGAAGAAAGAAAAAAAAGAAATACAAATAAAAAAGAGAAAAGAGGAAAAGGTAAAGTAAAAAGTAGAAGGAAAAAAAAGGGACAAGAGTTCTAACCAAAGATGCGTTGATTTTTATGTGTGTGTGTTGTGCGGTGAAACTGATTGGCTGATTCGAATCAACGTTACGTACTCCGATCTGTTTTGATTTCACATTTCACGTACCGTACAAACGCGCAGCCCGGATAGGATGTGTAAACAAATCAGGTATGTCAACGCGTGTTTAAAATTTTCATAGTGCCGGAGCAAACTTTATTTTATTATAATACGCGCAGAGCGCCAATCATTTTCAACAAATGCGCGCGTATCCAATTTACATCATTGATCATGAGTCAACGGTTAACAATTAAATGGGTAAAACAGTTTTAATATACATTAAGTGTAGAGAATTAGTTTATATATCTGCATCTGTACCGCGGATACTAGTTTTATACTTCAGTACTTTAAGGTCATATAAATAAAATTATTCGTTTCTCATCAATATAAATAGTAAAAAGTGACCCGGCCGCCCGGGAAAAAAATTTATTTTTTTAAAAAAAAATTACCCTTTTCTAAAATATGATTGGTTAAAAAAAATAAAATTTCATAATATTTATATGACCCGGCCGGTTATGAGAAGCGAATAGTTTTATTTATATAGCTTATACATAAATTAACTAGATAATTTCAGCCTACGTATTACTTGTAGTTGTTCGACTAATTTGGCTATTACTCATAAAAATTTTACAATCAGACTCTATAACACCTGAAGTTATTAAAATAAAAAGACAAGATTAACACAAGCGTAAAAATGATATGATCTTGTCCCATCTGTTTAAATGCGTATTAATATAGAGCTACTGTTTATTATTAACAAGTACTGTACGTATTTATTATTTGAATAAAACTGAAAATTTTAGAAATATTCCTATTGATAATTTTACAATAAAAATTTATTTCCAAAAAATTATAATACATCTTTAAAGTAAATAAATAATAGGCTAACCTATTTTAAGCGCAATGTTAAAATACAATATATTAAATAAAATCGCCATTCTGATCAAGCATATACATTATCTTTCGCAAATATATTAACACAATTTGTTATCATATATATAATTCAAAATCTTGATAAATACATTATGTTGTCATATCATCAAGAGGCATAAATTTATAGAATATCAGTATCGTTTATTCATCTTTATCGATACGTTGTCCAGGAATTGTCTGTCCTTGAGTTGCATCAATAATACCACCTTCAAGTGACAAGACATCTGCTTCTCCACATATTTCTAAAACACGTTCTGCCTCTTCTACTGTCATTTCACCCAGGACCTTATTAATCTTTGTTAATTCACCGGTTTTTAAAGCTTCCTGGAAAGTTTCAGGCAGTTTCAAGAAAGTCTGATATTTGGCTTTTTCTTGCTCATCCTCCGAATTTGCATCGGGAACACGGACATTGAGGGAAGTATTTGGATCGGTGACCTCTATTTGAATTTGTTCCACCTGAGCTTTTTGAGGCCTCTGTGTTTTCTCAGCATTCATTACTTTGCAACGATCACGAATACGTTCATAAGTCTCATTAACATCCTTTAGAAAAACTTCACGTGCTTGTGGGTCTGGTGACGTTATTCTGCAAAAAATTGTTAATTAAGTATATGAATACTGTAGTACAAACAAATTTTAACAAATTCGGTATTATTCTTTATACCTTCTGAAAAAGAGTGTAACACCATCTTTTCCTAATTTTTGGCAATATTGTAACAACCATCCCTGATGCACACATTGTTTAGCATATTTTTCCTTTCCTTTTAATTGAGCACGGAAAGCCTCCCCCAAAATTTGATCAGATATGTCTTGATCTACTACTTCAGGATGTGCAGTTATAAATTTGTAACTATCATCATAACTTTTAATAGCTGCGAATTCTTTTGCTATATCTGAAGTAACTAATTCTTCATCTTCGTCATCAGCCTCTTCACCATCTTCATCATTCTCAGCCGGTTTCTATGCATATGAAATTGATTGTGAATATCACACCAGGACAAATGAAAGATGGAAATTATTTTGATTTGCTTGCTTACTTGTTCACCCTCTAGAGGTTTTAACTTAGCATCAGGATTCAATACTTCAATAGTTTGTTCCTTCTTTTTTTTTTTCGGCGGCTCCGGTTTTTTAGGTTTGTTAACAACCTGTTGTGTAACAATATATTCCAAATTAACAAGTTTACTATTAAGAATAAAATTTACCAATAAAAACATACTTACACTACTATTAATGCCTGTATGCAAATCATCCATAGTGATCTTCTTCTTAGCTTCTAGTTCTTCTTTTTCCAATTCTTTCTTAGTATCCTTTTGTTCTTTGATTAATTTACCGTGATGTTCTTTCAACTTTCTTACCAATTCATCACCGACTTCTTCAGGACTTTCATTATCAATTTCACTCTTAATTTTATCGAACAAGATGGCCATCATTTGATCAAAAGTTGGATATTTTGGTCCTTTATTATCCTCTTGATCCATTGACTCATCATCATTATCCTTTTCAACCTTTTTAGTGACATCTTCTAATTTACTGTTAGCTTCGCGTAGATCGTTTATTGATTTTAAAAATGCATCTACGCCATTCTTTTCTATTTGTTTAATCATATCATCAATTCGAGAAAGTAAAACGTCATGTTGATCGATTTTTTGTTTAAGAGCTTGAATTTTTTGACGTCTTTCTTCGCGTTTTTGATGAATATCGGCTTGTTTCCATCTTATAAAAGAAGCTTTATCAACGTTTGGGTGACATTCAAAGTCGTCGTCGTCACTAAGTTCTAGTTTATCCCACTTGCTATAATCGATAGGCATATTTAATATTTAAAATGATTTAAATGATTTAATGATTAATTGAGAGAAAATAAAAGAACGCAACTGGTTTTTTTGTTTAAATTGAGAGGAGCAAATTTTTTTTTTAGATTTTTTATATCAGCGTGGGAGTTCTAACTCCGCATTTTAGTATTTATAAATGTCGCACAATAAATTTTAAGCCAATAAAATTGCTTTATCAAAAAATCGATTCTGCACTGGAAACATCCAGAACTTTTTAAATATCTGGGTACGTACGTACGTTATCTCCACAAGTCCGTTCAAACCGGACAAATAACCCCAAAAAAACAATTACCATTTATAAACATTATATAATTGATAAGAAATTATAACACGCTGGTGTATATCTTTTTAATAGTTTCGCTAGTAAAATTTAGGGTGCTGTTATAGGTTAAGGTAAGGATTAGTATTAGAGGTTAAATTTTAGATTAATATAAGGTTTTGGGATTTTTATTTAGAACTCTGGCTATTGTGGTGTTAACACCATGGTGTGATTTAGTAATAAAACCGTATATAATTGATAAGAAATATACCTGATATCGATCTATTATTTAGGATCTTTGCTTTGAAAATCACGTTATTAACGTATGATTTACTATGTCCCATAACGTGATTTTCAAGGCAAAGACCCATTAACATTAATAAAGTTTGGTTTGACCAGGGTTTGGGGTTTGGGCATATATAAGCAAAAACGGGTTTTGGCAAGTATAAATATATCACTAAAAACAATTTATTTATACGTATCGGTATGTATAATTATATGTATATAATACATAATACATAACGGATAATAACTGCATTTGATTTTAACGTAAATTAATTTTATTCATGCCACAATTATAGAGATATATATAGTATTTTTTGTTATATATAAAACCGTTTATGTATTTTAATAAATTTAAGCAAAATAGATAATAATGGAGACTAAAATTAATCGGCATTTGATAAAACAAGGTTAGAAATTTTACGTATCCAATTCCAACTATGTATCTAGAATATATAAAAAAAAAAAAAACGCGAGCCACTTGGAAGTTAGATGGGTCATTTCACGAAATGAAAATTGAGGGACATGGATACATGATGGAGACATTAAATTTCGAGTTCAGTATCGACGATCTGATGTACAAAAATGAAAAATATGACAATCAATAACATTAATGTTAATAATGGTTTTGGAAGTAAATATGCAATCAGCGTATTCGTTACATTAATGCTATTATAAGTCTAATAGGGGAATAAGTATTAGCGATTTATATGAATAATATTATATAACATCGCCAATAATTAAATGCATGAACGAATATTTCGGATCGCATTTCTACTTAAAAAGACTAGAGTGTTCGATAAACATTACCTCTTCCATCCATGTGTCCATGATCTTCATCATCACGTGCTCTTTTCATACCATGAGTGACTCCATCGTAACCTCTGTGTGGTTTGATTGAAGATCATATGCATCGTAAGAGTCGGAAATTGTTAAGGTCCTCCATAGTGGAAATTGCAGGAAAGCGGTCGAGCATTTAGGAGAAATACCTTTGTCCTCGCGGTGCAACAGGTACGTCTTCGCCGCCAAATCCTTGATCAAAAAATGCCGGATTAAAATGAGGTGCCGGAAATCCCGGGCCCGTCGGTGCTTAAATTAAACATAATGTCAGTTTTCTAATAAAGAAAAAAGAATTTTTTTTTTTTAATTGCAAATTATACAAATATGCATGCTAAATAATTACTATTAAAACCGCCCATATTAGCACCCATAAATTCGTCACCATATCCTCCGCGCATCACGCCTCGGCCGCCCATTATTCCACGACGGACAGGTCCAACTTGTTGATTTCTCATACCCATCATTCCGCCCCGTGCCATCATTGGATTCATGGCGAAAGATGCATCTCCAGTAGCTGCGAAACCGTTCATATATGAACCGCGACCGGCTGCAAACCCGGAATATGCTGGTGCGATTGGAGGGTTGAAAAAGTCTCTTGGTCCAGAAACCATTTGTCCGGTTCTAAATCCACTACGAGGATGGGGATGAAAATCTAGCGACCCTGGTCGCATAACCGGACGAATAGGAAGACCTGATGCTGCTCTTTGTTGTGAAGCAGATTGCTGTTGTTGCATCATCTGACGTGAAGCTTTTGGTGGAGGTTCTGGAATCAGTAATATGTACAGTAAGAGTAAAAATATCAAACATTAAAGTGAAATAATTATGTTTCAAATTTTATAAAAAATGTCGATAACTTACCTTTTGGAACTGTTTTAAACGGATTACCATTAGCCGAGCTTGTAAAATTCACAAGACATTTTTTACCGGTTATTTCACTAAGTTAAAAATGTTGTAATATATGTTGTGATATGTTAACTTTTTTTTTTTGATATAATAAAAGCAAACAGTAAATAAACAAGCATTTGATCAAAACTCACATTTCTTCTAATCTGTCTTTAACCTTGCTTGCTGCTTCTGCCGCTGTAAATTCAACGTAAGCGACACTATAATTAAAAAAAAATAAAATAAAATAAAAAAAAAAATAATAAAAAATAAAATTATAATAATTCAATCTTTATAATAAACTGCCTTGGAAATAATATACTTTTGTAAATTTTCTTTTTACCCTCTAGATTTTCCGTTTACTTTATGTTCATAAAAAGTGACCTCAGTCACTTCATTTCCAACTCCAACCTCGCGGGCAACATTACGAAGATCTTCGTCAGTGGTCCACTAATAAAATATAAATATCCACTTAATATAATTTTTTTTTTTTAACAGTGGTGAAAAAGGAAAAAAAAGAGGTCCAATTTACCCAATTTAATTCACCAATATATAAAGCATTTGTAGCATTTGCAGCTGTCCTGCGTTCTTGCATTTGTTGAACACTGCTATTTGAAGATGCTCGTTGCACATTATTGTTGTGACCTATAATGAAGAACGATTGATGTCACGGTGCTTAGAAAAAATCCAAATTCATGGCAATCTTTGAAATATTGTACGTTGATTTGTATGGGCTTATTCCTATTACCTTCATGGGAACTATTATGCGCAGCAGCTAATTGATCTTCTTCGGATGGTTCCAATTTTACTTCATATCCCTGTGTTAAATTCGACAGCAAGGTTTCGAACAATTATTACATAAATCATTGACGAGATTATTGGTGTGAGTGAAGAGAAAAAAGCGAAAACTAGTAAGTTCAGGTGTATTTATTTTTTTCAATAATTTTTTTTAATTGATTGATTTCAATACAACTTTTGATAAAATTTTCATCGCTATACATCCTTTTTTTCCTTATTATATTACAAATATTGTCAATTAATAAGACGTCAGAACTATCATATAATAATTGAATCAATCTCAGAAAGATAATGTGCGAGAAACACAAATGCAGACAGGCAAACAATACAAGCATCCAAACAAGTAAAAACAAAAAATATGAAAATATGAAAAAAATTGCAAACTTGAACAGAATATTCCTCCCATCCTTACAATACGGCACAGCGCAGTCCAGAAATAATTATATACAATATAAAAATGTATGGAAAAACATTGGCACTAGCTGCGCTGTGAAGTAATTACGAACCTTTTCACCTTCCCCGAAATCCGCGAACAAATCATCATCTCCGTCTTTTTCTTCCTGTACACCTGAACTAATATCTGCATGATCATAACTTAGATCGTTATCTCTTCTAGTTCGCTTTATTGGACGACTATCATCGTCTTCTAATAACTCTCCATACAAATCTTCTTGCTATCCTCGAGATAATGTCATTTTTTTTCTTTAGGAATTAATTAATGTTAGTTAACAAATACAGTAATAAAATTATACTTGACGTACTGGGTCTCCATTCGCACCGAAATTGTCGTCATTATATATATCAAATTCATCAGCCATTGAACGAAATTACAATTTTGTCAGAAACCACAACTAAAAGGTAAAGTTTTTAGTTTTCAAAAAAATATGTATTTTTCTTTTTTTTTTTTTTTTTGCTTTTTTTTTTCTAGTTTACACTAAGGTATAAAATGTGTGGAAATCTACATGATAACATTGTATAGTATTTATGGTTAGTTTCAAAATAATAAGTACATGTAATCCTTTTCACTTCTAACACATAGATCTTCCATACTACACCAAAATCGCTTTACATAGATCTAATTTTAACTCAATCTTTCAGTTTCCAAAGAAAATTAATAAAAAAAGAAAAAAAACATAAAGTGGCAACTAATGCTAATTTCAACTACACTGCCATTTTTTCCCTCCAGCTTTTCCATCAAGTACGTACTTTTAAGATTATAGTGCCAAATTCTTATTAAACTTCAAGTTGGAATACACACAGACGAAGGTTCTTATATAATTAAACTGAGCTATAAAGGCAAGCTATGACGTGAGTACGTTATATTAGAGTTTGTAAACTGCTTTGTTATTGAAAAAATAACTTTTTTTTTATATAATGATCTGGTGATGAAAAGTGGCAATGGCGGTGCATTGTTGATCATAATAGTTGATTGGACCGGGAATGTCCTACGTTATCAGGAGTACAGAAGTTCACGTTTATTACACTCGCCATATATGTACGTATAAAAAAATTTACAATAACGTGCACGTGAACTAGTCGATAACATTAGCGATGACTATAAACTTAATTAAAATCTAAAAATCAAAAAACGAATATTTTTAATAATTCATGTTAAAAAGCTGATACGTAGTATCGTGTAAGTACGCACTATAGAAAAGTTATTCAAACTATATAACTGCATACTGTACGACAAATTTAATTTTTTTAATTTTTTTTTAAAATTATTTTAGCATTTAAATTTATATTTCTAGATAGCATATAATACTGTATATATACTTTATATATTATCTAATGTTTTGGTAAAATTTTTTATAAAAAAATTTTCTTGTTATACTGTAGTTAACTCTTTGTATAACGAACTATTAGTTCTAGTTGTAAAAAAAGGTTGCCACAATATACATATAAAATTACTACTATATGTTTTTTAAAAATTTATTGTACAACTTTTTATACTGTATATAATTTGAAATTTTAACTAATAATTTAATTATATATAAAGCAGCCAAATTTTAAATTTTAATATATATATTATAAATAAAACAAAATTTAAAATTGATTTAAATTTTTAAAGCTAGAGTTAGAATTTTTAGTACAATTATTTTGTTCTAATTCAAGTAAATTTCAACTTATTATAATTCTATTTCTACTTATCTGTTATAATATACAGTATATATATAAAAATTAAATCAAAAATTTTTTTTATTTTTTGTTTTTATTTTATTTATTTGTTTATTTATTTTAATATACTATATTAGTAGAAAATTACAAAGCTTACAGTATTTAGAAAAATCTAAAATTAATTATTTTTACAATATAGTTAACTCTCTATAAGTGCACTGTATACAGATTACAAAAAATTCTGCATTTAGAGAGATATTGTATTTAGAGGAGTAAAGATCTATAGGTGTGTATATAGTAGAACCACATCAAGATTGTGTATTTAGAGAAGTCTTACATTTATGAAGGTTGTATTTAGAGAGATTTAACTGTATTTATATTGTATAAACTATTTGATATAATATACTATATATTGTATTTTTAAATTTTTTATTTGTAAACTAATTTAAACTAAGCTATTATTGGTTTTAAAAAAAATAAGAAAAAGTTTTTTTTATTTTTTTTTTAAACTTTAATAGTATTGTTAGTATTTTTATTAGTTGATAGTTAATTTTGTATATTATAAACTATCTAATTTGGTATTATTTGTAAATACTTAGATACAACCTGTTGTATTGCTTTACAAATAAAACAGATGATTCAAAAATATATATTTTTTAAACAAACTCTTTCTAACAATCACTTGAACCAAATTTTTTATTAAAAAAAAAAACAAAAAGTTTGTTAAAAATTGAGTAAACTATAGTAAGAGTTTGTAGTAAAAGAGATCAACTTGTTATAAGAACTTCTCACTATATTCAGCATGCAAACTAAAAGTCTAGACAAAAGAAAAATGCAAGTAGCAATTTTCACAAATAGTAAAAATTTTAATAGACAAAAGCTTCATTGACAAAATTTTATAAACTACAGTTTTAAGAGGTTTTTAGTAGTAATTTTTTAAAAAAACAAGATCAACCTTGGTTTGGAGACTTCTTTTTATATTTAGCATGCAAGCTAAAAGCAAAAATATACAAAAGGAAAAGGTAGATAGTACTCTTTATTGTATATAAATTTTGGTAGAACAAAGGTTCTATTGATAAAACTACAAAGATCTTCTTTAGAACCTAGGAGTATAATAGACATTTTTATTTTTGAAAGCTGTGCTTCTTTGAAATATATAAGTAATATTTTTTATATCTTCTCTTATATTTTAGTTGGTTTTTTAAAATTTTTAAAAAAAAGTAGAGATTTGGCTTATCCTTTTAAAAGATTAGCATTGTTTACTTCCCAAATTCAGATAAACTAGTAAAATGCAACTACATATTTGCTTATAGATAGATATAGTACTATTTCATAAAACTCAGTTCAAAAACTCTAATTATAGTAGTAGATGGTTTAAGATACAGATTCTCTGACAGTAGCAGCACCTAGCTTGAAATATGAATTAAAATAGTTAATAGAGCTATCCGAAGTTGGTAAAAGGTCAAAAAGTAAACTTAATATTAAAGCAAAGCTTTACAAGAGAGATATACAAATATTATATTTGTTATATAATTTTTATTAGCTATATACAGATTATAATAGTGTATAATAGTATATTTAGAGTTTTAGATTTCTTTTTAAATTTTTTCTTTTTTACAATCAGTGTTTTTTTTTTCTTTTTTTCTAGTTATTTTCATAAACTTTTTGTTAAAACTTTCACTCTTTTTGTTTTGTGCTTTTGGAGAAGAAAGAAGAATTAGAAAAAAAAAAAAATTCTAATATAGTATATAATAATCTGTCAAATAATCAAGAGGAGTATTTTTTATTAATACAAATTTGAAATAAATTTCAGATTCTGAGTAAGACTAATAGTTGTTATAGCAGGTCATATTGGGTATTATGCTTAGTAAGTTTTTATTAAGTAAAGTGCTAAGTCTAAAATAAAATACAAATTATAATTTTGTTAGATAGTAGTTTTTATAAATAAAAGCAAAATTACTTAAACTAAAAAAATAAAACAGATAATTTTGTTAGCTTTGTTAAAAGTCTAATTTTAGATTTTTTCTATTTAAATCTTGGCAAAATAGCTATATTATTATTTTTTTTTTTGGTATTAAGGTGACCTCTTTGGTCAAGAGAAACTTTTTATTAGAAATTAATAATACTGATTACAATAAAGATACAACTAGTCACTGCGCTTTTGGCACTGTCTATACTAGATGTCTGTACCTGCAGCCTAAACTAGAACTATCTATTTAAACCTTCTAATTTTCACTATATATACTATTTCATTCTAACCAAGAGACTACTATGATTATAGCTCATCCCATGTAGATTTCATATCTCATTTTAGAATTTTCATGGATTTATCTTGGGTTTGTACCGACTAATTACCGGCTTGCATTTCTCTATAGAGCAGATATCACAGCTATCCTCGAGATAAACATATTAGAGCTTTCCGTACCCATTCTAGCCAGCCTAGTCTTCACAATCTTTGAAGATTCTACTTGCAATATAGCTTAGTGACCACTATACTATGCCTTTATAAGGTTCACTTTTCACCTCAATACCCATATTTGAACTTTTCTTTTTCTATTATTTCTTAACCAGTCCATTCTTTACTTCCAACTGGCAACCTAGAAAGTTCGACCTAGGCCCAGCTCTAGATGCCTTTGGCCCATCTCATCTTGGTTTGTATTTTCATAGCATATGTTCTTTTCCTCCAACTTGAAAATTCCTAGTTTTCTGGTATACCTAGTCTATTTTTTTGGTATATGCTTTATGATTTATATCTTCCAATCTGCAAATTTACTAGAGGTAGGGCCCTCTGCTACCGGTTTCCCAAGCTGGTAACACAGTTGGTATGCACCATATATATTTGTCAATTTCTGGTTTTTCCAAATTGGCAGTTTGGTTGGTAGATCTCTTCACTTAAGGATCTTTTGTCATTTGGTTCATTGGTCTTGGTTCTAACTTCTAAATTCAGTCTTTTCTGTAGTACTGTCAAAGGTTTTGGCTACCTTCTTACTTGGGATTTCCAAATGGATATTGATCATCTCAATTATCTAGATTTCATATACCAAAGCTCCTATTCTAGATAGTGTACCAAACAATCGATCAGCAAATAATTATACTGAACACAAGTCTATTTTTCAATATTGTCATCCCTGAGATTTGGACTTTAGACCTGCTGCTTGAGAGGTAACAAATCTACCACTTCACTAAGTCACTACATCCCAAAATAGCTATATTAGCTTTTTTTTTATTATATAAAAAAAACAAAATAAATTTAATATACAGTACTATATAACAATTGATCTAAAAGGAGAGATAACTATATAATCTAAATAAAAAACCAAATTACAATATATAGTCAACTTCCTCTAAATGCATGTTGCTAGAACCAAAGCTTTAACTTGTATTTAAAAAAAATCTGCAATTAGAGAAAAATTAAAATTATTAAAAATTTTATTAATAAAAAATAATAAAATCTTTAAAAATTAATAACTTTTGATTTATTGATCCAATTTAGATAATTTAACTACCAAAATGATCCTCTTATAGAGTTGTTTCTAATAAATTTAAAATTAGCCAAATCTAATTACATAATCTTACTTAAGATTATTAATGATTTGTATTATATTTACTATAGTAAATATAACTTAAAACATTAATAATATCAAGATTAAATAATCAGATTTGGTTGATTTTAGGTTTATTAGAATCAGCTCTGTAAGAG